TCAATTGAGGACTTTGTGGAGTGATATCGATTGGTGAGACGGATGCAGACATTAGTGAAACACTCATTGGAGCGCTGGTGGCAACAGTTGTCGATAAAGTGGATCTGCTATCAACGGATCGGGTCATTAAATGCGTGAATCGGTTCCACGGTTTGGCTTTCACTCTATAGAATTTGGTGTTTAGCGCCACTCTATACCTGTTTTGTGCCTGTTTTGCAATTCATATTAATTCAATTCAATCAACTTTTAGCGGAAATAAATTCATTCATTCAATAAATTAATGAAAAACAATATATAATCATATAATTTAGAATATCAATATATTATCACAGCTGCCCGCATCTCTTAACTTTTAACATTATATTTTAAAAACATTAAAACCAATAAAACTATAAATAAATATTTTATCAAATTTTTAATATCAAATAATAATGATTTTTAATAATAATTATAACATAACTAATAAATATAAATTTGCGTTAAAACCCCGTTTCGAAAATGCTTTAAACAATCATTAATTTAAAAGCAAAGAAAACATGGGTTTTATGTCAATCGCTGAGATGATCGATACGACAATGGGTTCAGTTGTTGTGTTTTATTGCACTCAATCCCTATCCCTAACACTCACTTCCCAACCGTGTATTGTTTTAGGGCCATAAATAATAAGGTCTTCAGACAATGACTACCAACTATAGCTAAATGTCTACCAGTGCTCTATATTGCTCGAAAGACATTTGCTCGAAAATTTTTAATTTAATTTGCTTTAAATACATTAAATTAGTAAATATTACAAATAATATTATTAAATAAGAGTATATTAGTTAGTTTAGGTTAGTTTGGTTAAGTTAGGTTAGGTTTAACAAGTTAATTTTACAATTTAAGTTAATATTTTCGAGCAAATGTCTTTCGAGCAAGTGTCTTTCGAGCAAATATTTTCGAGCAAATGTCTTTCGAGCAAATGTCCTTCGAGCAAATGTCATAGACCCGTTTTATTGCACTCAATCCCTATCCCTAACACTCACTTCCCAACCGTGTATTGTTTTAGGGCCATAAATAATAAGGTCTTCAGACAATGACTACCAACTATAGCTAAATGTCTACCAGTGCTCTATATGCTACTGTCCCCGCCGAGCGAGAGAGAGAGAGCTGATAGAGATTTGTAACAAATTAAGCATGAAATGAGTGCCAGAACTGATATCATAAGTTACATTGGCTCCGATATGATGGCTAAAATTGTGCTTAACATTAAACAATGTGCACAAACATTGAGAGCTACTGAGAATTGATTTGAGGTCTAAAACATGAGGTAGACCTCCCATACCCTCCGCACAACTTAACTGTACTGTAGTGTATAGTAGGACACAAGCAAACGCCTAATTGATAGGCTATACAACAGATATTAATAAATGTTAGTATTGGTGAGCCGTTTGATTGCCAACGAGACCGCTATCCGAGCCATAGGTTAGGCCCGAAGCGATCCGATAAGAGAATAGCAAACGTTTTTATGATATAAGAAGCGTTTTTGGAGCAAAACTTACTTTTTTTGCCTGACAGTACTCCTTATCAGTCACCTCGGCTATAGTCCACCGCTGATGGGCCTCTCCTGTAACTAATTGAATGGCAAAAATCAATTAAGTTATACTTATTTACACTTACATTAAACTACTAAATAAATATTTCGCACGCATTAGACAAATAGTGCAAACAATTTACCCAATAATGGTTTCGAGCATTTTTCGCTTATTTTAAAATCTATAATAAACTCAATATCTTATAAACAAATACTGAATTAAATTCAATGTAAACCAGAATAATGCTTAAAATTTATATTTAAATTGTTATATAAAGTATTGTTGTATTTTTGATGATTATATGTTGCAAAAGGTGTGGTTTAGGCATCAAAATAAAACGAGAGTACGAGAGAGAGAGAGAGAGAGAATAGTGGACACGACTGTTATCATAAGCAAACCGTTCCGCCTTTCATTCAAATTAAGTCCAATTCAAAAGTTAAACAAAACATATGTTGAATAAAATCTTAAATTAAACACTAAATTCAAAGTTTGATTTCAATCATTCATTCCTATCATCAGTAAATGATTTCATAGTTATTACTGATTTTATACACTTATAATCCGTCGTTCATTTCATCCCATTTTGTCAATTCATTGAATTGATGAGCAAAACAAAGACAATAATAGTTGGGTTAAAGAATCGCAACAATCGTTATAAGAATTGATAGGAATTTAGTTTAAATATTTGGTGTAATCGTTGTGTATGGGCTGAACGCAAGTCGTTTAACTAAAGGACACGTTTTTACAACATTTAACATTATAGTTGCCTATATTTTTAGAAATCATTTTTCGTTAACATAAGATTGCTTTCAATTGTCTCTTATTATTGTTGAAACAAAAAGCATCCCAACCTCTCAACTTTCCCGTATAACCATTTATTGTGCAAATTGTTTGTTACTTATATTTGTATATTTTTAAATCTTGTTGTTTTAAACTCAAATGTAATATCAAGTGAATTAAAAAGTATTACCGTTTTCTATGGCTTATAGTTTCGTGCAATTATAAGTCATTATTGCATAATTGCTAAGTTATTATGTGAATAAATTTTTATATTTGTAATCTATAAAATTCACACTTCTTATAATAAATAACGAGGTCATTTCCCGATATCCTATACCCCCGCCCACTTTGAAAATTATTTGCAATATTAATATAAATTCACAAAATATAAACTAAACTTGTAATAATTGTGTGCATTAGTTCACAATACAGAGAGCTTTGCATTTAAGCCAACAATCAGAGGCAATTCAAGGCTATTGCTATTTATTTAATAAATATAATAGATTTATGTTATAAGTCATATCATTAAACCCGAAACCCGGTATCGAGTTTAATTGTTATATATTTAGCAAAAACTGGTCTCATATTTTCCAATGATTACAATAATTAAAACAGTTTTAGTTAATTTTAGTCATATCTCGATCAATTCATTGAATGACTAAACTGTCTCAATATCTTTAATTGTCTTTAAGTGACAATTCAAATAAAGTGATAGTTATGAGCAAAAGTATGAATGACAATAATATAGAATCTATAGAGACGTCTACTACAGTATTAGTGATAATCGGCATCAGACACAACTTTACCCACACATGCCGTCGAAATTTCATTAATCTGATTGTCTGACTATGAGGTCTGATTGTGATAACCTGAGTTGTCTATGAATAAATAACTCTGCATTGGATAGTTTTAACAATTAAATAATGAATATTAAATAAAATTTGATTTTAAACCATTTCTATTTGTTATAAAATTTAGACACAATTGCATGCAATACTATGTCAATTTTAGTGAAGGGGTGCAATTATATTTGTATGGATGCAATGAAATCTATAGTTCCATACAATTCTGAAAAACATTATTTTACTGAAAATGACTCAGAATTGCATGCAATTATAATCCCGAGAAAACGGTAATAAAATGTAAAAATGATGATAACTTTAGTATATGAGTAAATAATTACCTGATTTCAAAGAGAGCGCATCCAAACAGTCGGTGTGTACGAAATGGAGGACATTATTAAGAGTGAAGACAATATAGTTATTGAACTTTTCTTCATAATAGATGAGTACAATATCTCCGACTTCACAACTTTGAGATTAAATGTAATAATTTGTGAAAATAATATTCAAATACAGACTAATATTGGACACAAACGACTTGACACAAGTGATTATAAGCATTAACTTTGAAATGATGTGCTGTTACAACAAATTAGTATAATCTCAACTAACATTACAATTCCATTTAATAATACAAACATAGATTTAGGTTTAGTTTGGAAATTAAACAATAGTTTAATTAAAAGGGAAAATATAAATCAAAATATTTACCCTAAAACAGATACCCTTTCAATGCGGCCAATGGCTGATGAGGACTGAGACATATCAGAATCGCGCAAAATTCTGTTTAATCGACTGATTTCTGACTCTTTCTCTTTGATGACCTAATATTAAGATAAAATAGTCGTTAAAAGATGACTGATTTCAGTCACATCAAGTCATTGAGAGCTTACATTAGCTGAATTGCAGGAACATTGAGGCCTTGTATCACAAATCACTGATTCGTTGAGCTTTTGGTCAAAACAATTGGTTAATGACTTTAATTCGCTTTCAATTTGAACCAACATTTCATTTCCTTGTGTCTCAAT